CGGCCGTATGTTACTAATTTAGGTATCGAGGTATCAGTATCAATACTTTGAAAAAAGTACTAGGTATCAATATCATATTGGCACATCACTACTGCCACCCCCCCCCCTTTTCTCCGATACGCACACTCAGCCACACGTGTGAAGGCCGCCCAACCGACCCCTACACACGTCAGAGTAGATACATACGTGCATGTGCCAACAACGCATGTGTTGGTATGAAAAAAAGGCCTCTGATTGTTCGTATGCAATCGGCTAATTGAATGGTAGTTTACGATACAGGTGCAATGGATGGTTTCCGGGAATAGATAAGTTCGTTCTGGGAGAAAAATGAGCGAAGCCACGTCTGCGGGGACCGACCTCGTTGAATCTGAGCTCGCAAATTTTCAGTGCTCTTTGAATCCGGTTTATTTTTATTGATTTTAAAAAGAAAAAAAAACGGGGAATCTATCTCATCTCGTTGAATCGAGCTCGACTGTATGTGTCACGATGTGGTGGGATCGGGCGCTCGTTAGTATTTTAACATCGCGTGAAATTTGAGGTACAGTCGGCGGGTTTATTCGCCTCGCTTTTGATGAAGAATATGCTATCTATATTGAGCAGAAGTCTAGATTTAGCGACTGAAGGAGGTGGAAGTTGAGTGGCGTCAGAGGTTAGAAAAAAGGAGCGATACAATGGCTGCTAAAGTTTGGTAAATTCCAAAGCCTTAGTATCCCTAAAAAGTGCAATCTCACTTTTATTTACGTAGGTCATTGATCAACAATTTTAAAGTAAACTCCACAAAGTGTTATGGGTTTTTTTTATTGGCATAATAGATGTTGAGCAAATTCTTTTCAGAAAATGAATTGATCAACGGACTGAAAAATGTTAGTTTCGTCGATTTCATTACTTAATTTTTAACGAGCAGCCCCTGATTTCACCACGATACCACTGCTCTGAACCTTTAGACTACCAGATTGTAACCCGATCTTTCTGTACTCACCGAGCTGACCCCCGCGCAACCCCATCTGCACATGTTGGAAGCTGATCGGTTGAACTCGGGGAAAAGTTGTTTTTTTTTAAAAAGGGAGAAAAAATCAGTAATATGTCTGGGATGATTCGGCTCAGATCACCTTCTCCTGTTTCTTCAAGTAAGCTCCATCGACCTCACTGGGGAAAGAGTATTAAAAGGAGTAATAAAAAGATGAATAAACGAATAACTCAATAAATTACAATTTCGTTCATCTCAAAAGGGCAAATTGGTTTACACTGGCATACATACATACATACATACATACATACATACATACATACATACATACATACAT